GAAGGAGTGGCTTTACAACAACTCTGTGACTGTTCTTGAATGGCCCAGCCAGAGCCCTGACTTAAACCCCATTGAGCATCTCTGGAGAGACCTGAAAATGGCTGTCCACCAACATTTACCATCCAACCTGACAGAACTGGAGAGGATCTGCAAGGAGGAATGGCAGAGGATCCCCAAATGCAGGTGTGAAAAACTTGTTGCATCATTCCCAAAAAGACTCATGGCTGTATTAGCTCAAAAGGGTGCTTCTACTAAATACTGAGCAAAGGGTCTGAATATATATGACCATGTGATATTTCAGTTTTTCTTTTTTAATACATCTGCAAAAATGTCAAATTCCGTGTTTTTCTGTCAATATGGGGTGCTGTGTGTACATTAATGACGAAAAAAAATGAACTTAAATGATTTTAGCATATGGCTGCAATATAACAGAGTGAAAAATTTAAGGGGGTCTGAATACTTTCTGTACCCACTGTATCCTGCATATACTTTGGTGCTGCTTGAATCCAACTTCCCCGTTTCTTTCTTAATGTTGCTCCAATTGGATTTTTGACTACTTGAAAGTTTGTTTGTTTTTTCATCTTTAAGAGAAACTGCTATGTTTTGTGTGGTTTTCCTTCAAAGCTAAATACAAATCTCTTTAAATGTACTGTATAGCAATATCTGAACACATTTTAACTAAGATCTTTTTAGGTCAAATGTTGATGCCTGATTATAGAGTTGTTACTCAAGTTTTGACCTCTTCATCCAAAGTAAAGTTACAATGTGTTAGGCAACATCAGAAAGTCAAATAGTCACCCACCAGCTGTGGGAAAGATCTAGCTTTGTTCACCAGCCAGCTGCTAACCTGTCTGCTGGACAGGAACCATAAACAGTGAGCTATCAGAGTTTTTACTTAAAACAGCTGCCTGCTGTTGGAAACAAAGTTAATGCACAATAAGAATTAATCGAAACACTCGAGTTGCATCCAAAACAATACAGTCCAAAGAGCTAAACTGCTCTGATGAGATGTGGCAAATGATAATTCTCTGTTGGTTTGTTACATTTGAATGGCACCTTGCACATTATTCACAGCATCATGATCGACTTTTTGTAAAAATGTACTTGTGCAAGAGGGGCTTACCACAAGTTATTTTCTTTGATAGTGACACCACAAAAAACACAGGATATGTTTTCATTCATTTATTAAACATTTTCTCGCTTTTAAGTGCAATATCAAATATATTTAATTGAAAGCAGACGGGGACACTGAATCAGTTTTCTTGAGACATTAAGTTTACTCAGATGTGATATTTCGGAACCACCCCACAGCTCTGCTCAAACCCCATCCTCTACCTGTGCTCTTCGGTGACGTTGTGGCAGCTTCATCAAACACTGAGGTAGGGCTGAGGGTGGGCGTAGCAGGTGGAGTCAAAGGTACACGGAGCCCCTCGCTGTGCGCGTTCCAGGTGAAGGTGAGACTGGAGGTGGGTGTGGCTTCTGGGGTCATCAGGAGATCGTTTCCATTTTCTTTTCCTTGAGCCCACAGGTTCAGGCCCAGGGGCAGGCTGGTACTTCTGCGCAGTGGCATCTCACTAGGAAAAGCACAGGGTGGTGATGGATTATGCAGAAGGTAGCAAAGTTTCAGGCAGTTATTTTACCGAATCATGGCAATATCAACATGTCAGACTGTTATAACAGACTTTGCTCACATTCATGACCCCGAAATTCATCCAATCACAGACTGTTCGTGAACAATCTACAAACAGGTTAACTTGACCAGTCGGTCTCATTTGTACTTTGAGATAATGCCAAGCAACAGAGCATGTCTGAACCAAAGAAACCATGGTCAACAGACATAATCTTTACATTGGATACCTGTCACTCTCCTCCACACTGTCTTTCCAAGCTTGTTTGTATAGGTTTCCAGCCATACCAGAGAGCCAGCTCATGTCTTTGGACACATCTGGGATCCAATCCACTAGTCTGGAAGGAGCAGGCAAAGTCTTGGAGAGTTAAATTAGCACATGCTGTCTGTGTAGAAAAAGTGCTGTGACCATTTTACAAATCCTACATTCAAATCTCACTTGAGAGAAAGCTGCAGATATTAGTAAAGTCAAGAATAAAAGTTCTCATTGTGAAGAAAAAAAATGTAGTTTTTCTGTTGGTAGCAAATGGTTATTTCTGGTTCTACAGATAAAAACACTTTCATATTACTTGTAAATGATAAATGGAATATGGAAGGAAAAATAGCAGCTTATCTTACATCTGATGAAAAATATTTATTTGCAAATGTCAGAGGAAGGTAGTGGAATACAAAATCCCAGACAAATAAGTACAAACCAAAATAAATAACAAACTTAACTCTGTAGATGTTGCATCATACCATCCCAAAACATAATTTTAAAGACTATTATCACCGAGGTCAAAGAGGATTTGCGAATCATCTGTAGCATTTGTTGTAACCTGTTTATTAATTTAAAGCTGATATAGTAATAAAGAATACAGGTTGGTTCAGTGTACCTCTGTGCCAGAGAGCGGGCCGACTCCACGGGGAGAGTACGAGGGATCTGCAGGTAAGATGACACTTTCTTTGGCAGATACTCGGTCATGTGGGACAACAGACCACCAGAAGGATGTGCCTCTTTACAGGCTTCACACAATACTGACACAAAAAGTAGAACAAACACTGCATTTAGTTTTATTTGCATTAACTTACTGTACTGGCATAGCAGTACATTTATTTGGTTTGAAATCATAGTAGAATTTGAACAGTTTTTTTTTTTTTGGCCTAAAACAACCATGTCAGCCTGCACTTCATTTACCCTTCTTGAGGTTAACTGGGAGGTTCTCTATGAGCTGGGGATCCAGCCAAACGTGCGCTTTCTGATGTAGTTTCTGCTGATTCTGTGGTGTCTTCTCATTAGACTCTTCAGCCACATGCTTCACCAGCTCACAGCAAGCAGGTCTGAGCACACGCATTTCCAAACGTCTTCGTGGACACTCACTGCTGATCAGATCTGGAATGGGACGATTCGAAATCAAGAAGATTTCTGCAATAAGGAGATCTGGACAACTCACAACATTTGGCTGTAGTGACATTTTATCTGGACAGTGCTGTTGTATTAGGAGGACTGAAATCCTTCCTCACCTTCTTTTATAGTATTGCACTATCTTTATTTTTTTTTATCAAATTCCCTTACTGTTGTCTTGCAGGAAGCGGAGAGCATCCATGTATCCATTCTGGCAGATTTGAGCCATTGCCTACAAAATCCAAGAGTACTTGATGAGGATGGAGTGTACATACATCTGCTTAGTCTTCATAATGTTACAGGCCTCCACAGTCCACTGGTTTCACAAGATTTGCCTCCGAGTTTGTATGTGCTGTGTATTCAAGGTCACAATAACCAATTTCAGACTAGCAGAGGACAGGGCACTTTTGTAAATGAGGTCCTTGATCTTAAGAGTGTTCCCCCAATAAACAAATACAATTTCAAAAACCATACCAGCTCCTAGTCAAAAGCTGGTTAAACTGGGGTTTAACAGCAAACTTTGGAAACATGTTTTCAACTCCTCTGAGAAATCTGTTTCCCCCGAACATCTGCTAAACCTTTAATCAGTGTCTAAGCTCAGATACATGAAACACAAACCAAATAGATGACACATTGTCAGGCCTTGTCAGTGTTCACATTATGTTATGTGATGCTGTCTTTTCCCTCCACCATGGTAGGGAATAGAAGGGTGAATACATGCAGCAGTACAGGTGAGACTGGCGGAAAATATGACAAAGTAGAGAATCATACTTGTAGAGTGAGATAACTTCTTTATGATGCTCCAACCTTTTCAGCAGATGTCACTACTAGTCACTAGTGTTCAGCTGTTAGTTAACCGGACTGATAAAAGTGGTTTAGCTGCTGTAACCTGCAGTCATAATCTGCTGTGTCTCACCTCAGGCTGTGGAGGGAAGAAGGTGCTTGTCACTCTGTACATGTTCTCTGAGTTGACCTGGATGCTAACGTTGCTGAAGCGCACCTGATGCAAGTTGGGTGTGCTCACTCGGGGGCAGATGTCACTCTCACCAGCATACGCAGAGAATGTGATTGTGTCTGTCAGGTGACAACGAGGCAGGTTGTCACTGATGGCACCATCCACACAGTGCTGCACAGGAGGGTGTAACCAGAAGTTAAAACCTGAAATGAATTCATACTGTGATATGCCATATGCTCTCACATATTCAAACCAATGAACACTGTCCAAAATAATACTGTACAGATTGTTCATGAAGATGTAATGATTAATAAATAATGCAATGACCAATCAATCTGACAGGCTGATCTTGAGAAAGTGTGAAGTCTGAAGCGAGTGAAAGTTACAATGTGTGGTTTAAAATAAACAGGATATATCATGTCAGTCTAAGTATGTGCATACATGCCCAAACCATGTCATGTTTACCCAAATTTGACTTTTGAGGGCAGTTTAAACATTTTGGTCATGCACTGGGAGCAAGACAAGTTGCCACAATACAGAGGTTGTGGGTAAGAAACAGATGCTGCAAATCTGAATGTGCAAAACAGTCAATAACAATATCTTGCTTTAATTTAGTTTTAACTTAAGCACAGCCAAACTGCATTTAATATCGGCATGGTGTACTAGACCTAAACACAGTTCCCAAATGAGCTGATTGCCCAACAAGTGATAAATGATGTTGAGCTGTAAGCTTCCTAGCTTTTGAGAAAACTTTCCATGTCAGAGATGTCAGTGTGTAGGTTGGCTTTAGTACTTACCACTCCACGATAGGTGGGTGGAATAACACCACAGTAGAATGGAACAAAGCAGCTGCATAAAAGGGCCTGGAAAAGCCAGATAGTACTGTGCATCAATTAAAGAAACACCCTCCCTCTGCAGACAAATACAGTTTATTTTATTTTGACGGGCTAAGAAAGGTTTTAAAACTTTATTTCCAGGGATAAGGGCTTCATGATCAAAACAGCATACAGTATATGATTAGATTGGTTACATCAGCTATAAAATAGCTGTGACCCTCGGTTTTAACTCCTCACCGTAGCTGAATCATTCTTTCAGTTCTGGTCAAGGAGGGTAGGTCAGATTTTCAAGAAATTCCTCCCATTACAACCCCGGCCTCCATTTGACAACCTGTCTTCCTTATCAGGTTCTTACATTTTACAGTGTTGGTAATTAAGATACTGAAGTGTTTCTTAACTTTAATGCTGGCTAGCTGGGTAAAAGGTCATCTTAGCTTCCAAACTCTAAGACATACCTGGATGAGCTCCTCTCTGCTGTCAAACTCTGACACTAGCATGTTCTTCCCATCACGCACTCTGGTCAGGGACACACACAGCTTCCCGGAGACCCTAATATGTGCATCTTTTGGAAGGTTCTTCAGCAGAGAGTCTTGTACAAGCTGCAGCAGGTTGTACGCTGGATGCAGGGGCCCTAGTCTGCGCTTCCTGGCCTCTTTAGCCATGAACATCAGGTCAGCACAATATTTTTCTGCACAGAGGAACACAGTAATTAAATACTGATGGAAACATTGAACTGCAATTCTATATGTACAGTCACATGCATAGTAAACAGGAAATGTATTCTGTATTATGAGTTTCAAGTCAAGTTAGAGCTAAAAACTAGAGAAGACAGGCCGGTGGACTATGGAATGAACTGCCTCAGGAGACCAGACAGCTGTTTTGTTTCATGCTTTTACTGTTTTAGACAGTCATGTTTTCATCTCACTTACTTCTCCTTTTAATGTGTATCAGGCTGGTGGATACACAACATCTTATATTAAGTAGTTGCATTTACTTTCCAATAGGGATGGGACAATTTATCAAAATTCAATATATCGCGTTATAAAAACATCACAATATGCATCAGTTTGTCTAGCGATATACTATATCGAGTGGTCTCCATACATCAGCGACTTCATGTTTTTGGTTGTTCTTTATATAAACAAATCGGTGCTAGAAAAGGGGGAAAAGAGGAATAAAGTACAAGTAACTAGTCATACACTATTGTCATTGAATTTTTAACTGTATCGTGACTGAATCGAACAACACACCAAATCGTACATCGAATCATATGGAGAAAAAGCCACATCACCCCGTCCCTACTTTCCAGTGCTGCTTGGTGCATTGGAACTATGCCGAAGTATATAGGCTAATTACATTTTGTGGATTAAATAACACCTTGAATATCGTTCCATTCACCTAATCCGTTAAGTTGCCAACAAAGAGTTCAAATGTCAGGTTTTTTAAAAATGAAGTTTAGTCACAGGACACCCAACTTACCAAGGGGAATTCCAAGAGTAAGAACAGCAGCTATCAAAGCCCCTGCAGAAGAGCCACAGATTTTTGAGGCGTCTTGTATGAAGCGAGGGAACCACTCGAGGATGCAGCTGGTGGTACCGACATAATAAATGCTCATAAAACCGCAGCCTGCAAAGGAGATGCTCCATTTTTTCTCCAGGTCAAACATCTTCTCAGGTGTAGAGGCCAGGTATAAATGTCAGCTCTTTGAAATTAAATATTAAAATGATCGGGAATGGAGACCAGCTAACATGACCTACAAACAGCACTGAGAGATAAGAAACCATAAAATAGCCCAAAGGTTCAGCAAGTGATGTTGTTCTTCTTCTGTTGTCTAATGACGGTTGGCAAACAACTTTAGATGTATTACCGCCAACTTCTAGACTTGAATGTGGAAAGTGGTCTCATCCACCCTATCATGATCGACTTCTAGACATGAATGTGGAAAGTGGTCTCATCCACCCCTCCATTATCCATCCTGCTTATCCTGAAGAGGGTTGCGGGGGGCTGGATTCAATCCCAGCTGACACTAAGCGAGAAGCTGGACACACTCTGGACAGGTCGATGTGGTCTCATTAGGAGCCATTTTCATATTGGTTGCAAAAGATCAGTGACCGCAGTTATCCAGTTGCGACCTGCAATTAACTTAAGAAAAGAAGCGTGCCAGCATCCAGCCCAGCAGGTGGCGGTAATGCGCCTTAGGTTGGCTTGCAAACCGCCAATAAACACTATAAGCAGTGTTGCCAACTTGGCGACTTTCTCGCTAAATCTGACGACTTTCCAAATCCTCTTGGCGACTTTTTGTCAAAAGCGACTAGCGAGAAATCTAGGGACTTTTTCTGGTGTTTTGGAGACGTGAAAGCACGTATCACTCTGCGTTCACACTGCAGGCTGAAGTGGCTCAAATCCAATCTTTTTGCCCAAATGTGACCCATATCCGATTTCCTTATGACAGTGTGAACAGCACAAATCCGATTTTTTCAAATCTGGCCCAGACCACTTTCATATGTGGTCCTAAATCGGATACATATCCGATGTTTTGCAATGCGACTTCAGTCTGAACGGCCACGTCGCATTTCATGCGATTTTTATGTCATTGAAATGCGACACATGTCACAATTCTGCGCTGGAGGAGGCGAGGCCATAAGCAATATTTGTGCTGTCCTTCTTCTTGATATTCTTCTTATTATTATTATTTCGATTGCACATTAACTGGTACATCGCTACGCACATGCTATCACGAGCCGCATCCATTTTTATTTTCGCAAACACGTCCTCTTCAGCGCATGCGGGTCACCTCAGGGCCATATACCGTTCACACATGAGACAGATGGCAGTCGCATTTAAATGACAGTGTGAACAACAGCGCAAAAGAAAAATCCGATCTGAGCATTAAGACCTGCAGTGTGAACGTAGTCCTCAACGAGCAGCGGGTGCTGCTGTGAGACCCTCCTCAGTCCCAAAGCACTCACAGTAGCCTTGTGCAGCAACAGCAACGACGACAGCGCAACTGTTAGGTCACTTTATGACAGCCTGTGCTTGTTATATATTTCAACCTGGTGGCTTTTAAAATGAGTATCCCAGTAGTAGACTTTGGTGCATACAGCCTGAGTGAGAAAGATGTTACTGATGAGCAGCTGCACAACTTGAGTAACGAGCTGAAAGCAGCTTTTACAGAAGTTGGTTTTGTTTTTCTGAAGAACACTGGGATAACTCAGGACGAGGTGAGGGGGCAAGCAAACAATGCAATGTAGCGTTTAATTTGTTGGAGATGCTTAAATTGGAATGCATGTTTTTCTCCTGGTGTGTGTTGGGGTAGGTGGCCCGTGTTATGGACATATCCAAGAAATTCTTCATGCAGCCAGATGAACTGAAACAACCATTCAGCAGCAAGAGCTTTGCACACAATCCAAACCATGGCTGGGTCGCGAGAGGTAGGATTCAGAAGGTGAAAACATGACTTCTAAAGTTTACTGGTTTTAAATTCAGGTAACTGCTTTTTTAGGTTGAATCCACGTCGACCCAGAGACCTAAAGGAGGCATTTCACATAACTTCACTTCACCCTGACATGGTAATGCTTCACTCTGTACACCTTGTAATGATTTGATTTGATTTTTGATTTGATTTATTCTTTCAAGCATATAAAACAGTTGATATAACAACACACATTTTTACACACAATCCAATATCAATTTGCTTATACCTAGTACATGCTTGAATGGAGTAGGAAGAAGTCAGACTTATCTATGTCACTATCAACACTTTATAGGCAGGCTAATAAAGAGTCCACCCATCCATTATCTATACCACTTATTTCTGAATAGGGCCGTGGGGGTTAGGGTTAGGGCTAGTCTCACAAACAAAAATGTTTGTTTTCCTTATGTTTATTTTAAAAGAAGTACCAGCAAATATACTTACAATTTAAAAAAAAAAAAAAACCTAACCTCAATATCAGATTCAAAATCTACAGTGGTGTTTTCATCTACTGTAGAAATGGCCATCATCAGATGCCCTGACGGGGTTCCAGGAGATCCATACGTCTTTCTTCCAGCACTGTAAAGACCTGAGTCTGCGGGTGCTGAGGGTGATGTCCCACAGTCTGGGTCTGGACCCCGAAGTGTTCCTGAGTGCACACCATTTAATAGGAAGTATGTACAGATCACAATGCTCATTGCTTTCACTGTGGTGTGTGGTTTCAGGCTAAAAACAACAGTTTGGGTTAAAGGTTCAGGTGAGGTGATCTGTGGAAACAGTATGGATGATGCTTTATTTATCTGCACAGGCTCTGAGCATGTGTGTACAGCATCCTCTTCACATTTACAAAATAGTGTTCTGCTTAGTCACTAAAGGAGGTTGTATTAAGCAGAGGCACATTGGTGGTGGTTAGAAAAGAAGTGTAGTGTTACTCGGTCGGGTCCCCTACACACATTCTCCCGGCTAGTCTAGTGATTCAGACCTCCCTTGTTCAAGGTTAGCCTCATTAACCCTCTGCAGCCTCCCAGTATAGGACTAACTGTTAAACCCAGTGGTTGTGACAAGGCTGTTGTTTCTCCTGTAGCTGAGGAAAACGGCACAGCTCTGCGGTCCCTCTACTACCAACCGGTGAAAAATGAAGAAGTGAAGGAAGGTCAGTTGCGATGTGGAGAGCATTCAGACTATGGCACCATCACACTGTTGTTCCAAAACGCTGAAGGTCTGCAGGTAACACCACTGACATCACCACCTCTCTGAATCCAAGCAGAGAGAGACATTTAATTTACACATGGAACAATAGATTGGGGAATTGTAGCTATGTTGTGCTTCTGTCCACCACTTTTTCCCACCAGCCTGTTTCCCTGTTTGTGCTGCTTCTGCAAGTCTTTGTCAAATTATCTTTAATTATACAACGCAGGCTTCACTGATTATTGCTTACCTGTCCTTTGTTTTTAAAGTCAGTGTTTCTAAAGTGAACATTTGACAGATTTTTGCCAGTATTAGAAACAATCTCAGGCATGTAATCCCCCTGACACTTGTTAACCTTCAGGTCCGTAGTCGTTCTGGTGAATTCATCTCTGTTCCCAGCATCCCCGGGCTGGTCCTCCTCAACATCGCTGACCTGTTGCAGCGCTGGACCAGTGATCAGTTCATCTCTGTGGTGAGTTCAAAGGGAATTTTGCAGATTTAAGATGCATCTATAAGCAGAATTGGTTGGTCTTAAGTATTTTTTTGTTTGTTTTGTTCATGACAACAAAATGACAAAAGTGCAAGAGGCTAAACTTTTAATCTTGTGTTCAAATCTTATTTAGAAAATTTCAGCACAGGGACTACCTAGATAAAAAATAAATAAATAAATACATCGCACTTTACTGAATGATTTGTTGGTAATGGGTGGTAAAGAGAGTAGTTGCACAACTCTTACAGCATACAAAACAAGAGACTGATATTTTACCCACATTGACTGAAAAAAATCCCAAACTGCCACAGTAAAACTTTCATACTGTGAGTTATCTCGATTTTTAACCCTTATTTTAGCCTCCCTGCAGCAGATATGTGTACTGCCTGTAGTGTGTTAAACTGATTAAATAATTGAATATTTAAATTTTACCACATAAAAATACTATTGCAAGAAATTTTACTTTGCACAATTCTCAACCCAACAAGTTTAGAACATTATATATTATTGCAAGAAATTTTACTTTGCATACATCTCAACCCAACAAGTTTAGAACATTATCGGTGATGCCATGGGATATATAAAAATGCCATTAGGTATAAACTGACCATCAGTACAACATCTGGAATTTGTGAAAAAATGAAACCTTGTTATTGCGGTTATCCCATGTTCCTCAGATACACAGAGTTTTGCTGCCGCCTGCTGGCGACTCTGGCGCACGTCAGTCCGTGGCTTTCTTCGTCCATCCGGATCACGAGGCTGTGATCACCTGCTGCGACGGCTCTGACAAATATCCTCCTGTCACAGCAGGCGCCTACCTCAAAGAACGCTTAAAGTACTCGTATGGAGAAAGCTGAATTTCTATCCATGAATTCTGTCACACGCAGCTGGTGATTATATACACGCTGTCCTTCCGTCAGCAAATTGACTAATGAAAGTGTTTTATCATGTTGTGGGATCTATCAAAATACTGAATGTCACCTTAGATTCCACATAAATCTTAGTTTTTATATGATTGTGGGTTTTATATCATTGTATATCATCTGTGAGCAAATGTGTTATGTAAAAAGAGACATAACCCTTAAACTTGCAAGCTCATTCACTTTATAGTCCACATTCAAACAGTATCATGAATTTGTTACACAGGATGCTGGGTGGTGATTTTTTTTGAAAGGAATAATAAAAATTTAATTAGACTGAGGTCCACAGAGGTTGCTTTTTAAAAGGGATGTAAATAAATAAATAACAGACTTATTATATATTAGTTCCTCAAAAGTATACTTTTAAATTTTTGTGTCTTTATCTCTTAACAGTTTTTGACAGATGAGGCCAAATTCAGCATGCAGCAGTTTAATCTGCAGTGATGTACAAAATAAATTATTCTATCACACATACGAGCACTGACACACAAACACACTGTGCACATTAGAATTCAGCAAACCGTCATTAACACCAGCAGTTATATTAAACTAAAATATTTAAACATTTATATAATTACATCTGTAAACTAAATATGTTTTTCAATCATCTGGTCTAAATGAGACAACAGCTAGAGAATACACGTGGATGTGTGTTTTATGTAGTGTTGCTGCAAGCTCTCTGAACCATTCAAAAAAAAAAAAAACATCCAGGAAAAATGATAGTGAAGAGAAGTGTGTGGATCTGTCACAGTTTGGAGTCCTCTTAAAAACAAAACAGTTATAAGGCAATGGAGGACAAAATAAGTTTAAATATTGAATGATACATTATTATATCTATTCAGTATCACATTTAAAATGACACCTTAATCCAAATGTAAAAATGAACATTGTGAAATGTAAGTTTAGGCCTTATTTAAAAAACAAAAAAAAAGCAAATGACTTTTTGGAGCCGTAATTTTAACTCTTACAAGAAACTGTACTGATGTTACCACACAGTTTCCAGATGGGACCATTTCATTCATTGATTTTTTTCTTTTCTCTCTTCACCTGAAGAATACATAATTTTCAAAGTAGCTCTGTTTTTTCTGAGTCAGTGAATTCCAGTGAACACTAAACAAAACATTCACTATCGGGCCAGAAGTTTCTCCTCATTTCATCCTAAAGCATTTCCCATGCAGAACAGAGTCTGTGTTGTGATAAAGGGTCAATTTTCCTCACAGAAAATTGGAGCAGCTTCCCGTTTCAAGTTGGGTTATACAGCCGACCTGGCCAGAAAGGTGAAGGACAGGATGCGCTGAAATCAGATTTTCTTATGAGCTCCTAATGCTTAGACATATTTTTATCAAGCAGTGTTTTGGAGATCCTGGACCAAAACCAGAACATCGGAATGATTATAAGGTAACACACTGGCATTCACACAGCACACAGAGAGGTGAGGCCTGCTAAGAGTGTACTGGCACTGGGACATCCTGCTGCTGGTGACTAGGGGGCATCGGCTGACGGTTCCCTGGTACAACTGGTGCTGGTTCGCCTTCAGCTATAGGAGCTCCCTGCTCTGTAACAGAGTCATGTTGACACAAGTAGATTGTATTCACATGATCAGAAAGTTCATGATGAAAGGTTAAAGCATTCAGGATGGAGGAGCGGGTTTCCTGATTCAAAAAGACAATAAGGACAATATCCTCATGGCCCTCAAGTTTTTTTTTTTTTTTCTTTTTCAGATACAATCGCTGAAGGAGTTCTGCACAACTCTGTCTTTAAAAAGAGCACTCCCATGATTTTACCAATAAAATTCACAATTTGCTTGTGGCAAGGAGCACTGCTTGGCTGTTTTATAATGGTTTCTGTGGCTCTGAGGGGAGGTTTCCAAAACACAGAGTTGTGGCATTTGTACGTTCTAGCATTTTTGGAGCTTAACTCGTACTAGGCAGTGGCACTACAAAATAATGTATTGTAGTCATTGCTGCTTTGATTATGACCATTCTTTTTTTAATGTCCTCCAACTTTATGAAAGTCCAATACTAAATATAACTATGTGTATTACTGTAAAAGACATTTAAAAAACAATCATTGAAATGTGATACTTACGTTTGGCCTCAGCTTTTGAGCTTTGGGCTTTTAACTGTTCCATTTCTTCTACTGCCTGATAAAAGAAAGAACAACATAAAGTGTCCATCGCCCGACATCCTGTGTAATGAATTCATGATAGTGTTTGAATGTGGACTACAAACTGAATGAGCATTAATGTTAGTGTCACAAAATAAGTGGGGACCTCTTCTCAGTGTAGTAAAGGGTGCCATAGTATGAGGGGCTGTATAAGACATTATGTATTCTTGACGTTTCACACACATACATTTTCACTCTCACATGCATATATTCTCCTCACACATACACATATTCTACTTGCACATACACAGACATATTCTTCTTTTACATACATGTATTTTCACTCTCACATACATATATTCTCCTCACACATACATATATTCTACTCACACACATACAAATATTCTACTTGCACATACACACACATATTCTTCTTTTACATACATGTATTTTCACTCTCACATACTTATATTTTCACTCAGAAATACACATATATTTAACACAAGGTATACTGTTACACAGGAAGTTCTTCCTCTTAACAGGAAG